AGATAGATAGATTATAGATGATAGATTTTCCTTCTGCAAACTGACCTTATGTTCCCCTTTTGCATCCCAAGGGTTCACACCCACAACCATTTAGGTCTATGTTTATGTGGGGTGTGAATGTGAATATTACCATTATCTTATTTCATGATTGTTTTTAAATTCCTCCCCCCACCCCCATCCGAAGCCAGGGCCAACGTTGAGAAGAGACCCAAGCAGAAAAATTAAAAACTTGGAGCTCCCCAATAGAAGCAGGATTTAAAAAAAAACAAAACACCACCACCTTATTAAAAACACGGAGAATGCTTTCCGCACAGCCTGTTTGCAAACAAACAAAAATTGAGACTTCCTTCTTCCTGAGGCAGGGAGTTCCAGAGACACAAGGAGCCTTGGCTAATAATCCCCCTCCACTTTCCAGATAAAAGCACTGTCATAGCAAAAAATAAGGGTGGTTTCTGGGGCTGATTTTATACCCCAGGCAGGTGGAATTTAGAGATTTAAGAAAGCATTAAAATTAGGAACCTGGACTTGCTGACATTGTCAAGCCCACGCTCTTCCTCCTCCCAGCCAGGTGTTGCCCTCCTGGAGAAGGCCAGCTTCCTCCCCAAAAGGAAGCAAGCAGGCTTCTAGTCCTCATGAGCTTATTCAAACCTAGCAGAGTGTCATTTCGAAGCCTACCTTACCAGGGGCAGGGGATAATAATAAAATAAAATAAAATAAAACAATAAAATAAAATAAAATAAATAATAAAATAAAATAATAAAATAAAATAAAACAAAATAAAATAATAAAATAAAATAAAATAAAATATATTAAATTAAATAATAAAATAAAATAAAACAATAAAATAAAGTAATAAAATAAATAAAATATAAAATAAAACAATAAAATAAAATAAATAATAAAATAAAATAAAAATAAATAAATTAAATTAAAATAAAATAATACAAAAAATAATAAAATAAAATAAAAAATAATAAAATAATATAATATAATATAATAAAATAATAAAATAAAATAAAATAATAAAATAAAATAATAAAGTAATAAAATAAATAAAATATAAAATAAAATAATGAAATAAAAAATAAAATAAATTAAATTAAAATAAAATAATACAAAAATAATACAATAAAATAAAAAATAATAAAATAAAATAAAAAATAATAAAATAAAATAATAAAATAAAATAAAATAAAATAAAAAATAAAATCCAGAATGGCAGCTGTGCTGCCCTTGCACAACTCAAACCAGCTAGCCCATCTTCGGCCACCGGCGGCATGTCATCACAAGCCCGGGGAAAACCGGCTTGGTGGGAGCGAATGCGAATCCTGCCAGGGCTGCAATCTCAGCCGAGAACAAAAGCCGAGGGTTAGGAGTGGGCACGAAACCACTCGCTTTGGCACAAAAGGATGGGAAACCAAGGGCTGGGTTGCGAGGCTGTGGGGATCTGGAGGCGGAGGGCGGTTTTGGGGGGTGGCGTGTGGCGAGCCTGGCATTCCCCCGTCTGTGCCCCTCTTCCTTCCCCACCCGCTCTGAAGTGGTTGACACAACAGGAACCCGACCCCCGGGCTGAATGTTGCAGCTGAGATGGGTTGAGTTGGCAGACACGGGAAGCCGCAGGCAGGAGAGGGCGGTGCCCGAGCTGTCAATCACAGACCCCAGATGAAAGCTTTGGGGTGGTGTGTTTTTCCTCTCTCTCTCTCTCTCTCTCAGCCCCACCTGAAATCCTGCAGGGTTTGGGCTAGCTAGATCCCAGCTGCAGGCAGATTCACACGATTGGCCCGGCTGATTGCTGCATCCAGTTGGCAACATCGGGCTTCCACGGGATGGGAGGCCACAAGGAGAGCCAGGAAAACCATCTGCCAATTGCAGCTGGCCCTCGACTTACAACAGTCCTAGTGACTGTTTGAAGTTACGACAGCACTGAAAAAAGTGACTTGCACCCTGAACCATTGTTGCAGCGTCCCCCAGGGGTCACCTGTTCAAAATCCGGATGCTGGGCAACTAATTCAGATTTATGACGGTCGCAGTGTCCCGGGGTCACGCGATTCCCCCCCCCTTTTGTGACCTTCTGAGAAGCAAAGTCAATGGATTCATTTAATGGCCATATTTACTCACTTAAGGCCTGGCATTGATGTGACTACAAATGGGGGTTACGTTGCAGGAATCCACGGTTTGTTGTTGTTAACCGTGGCTGGTTTCCTAAACTGCTCCCGGTTGGGCCTACACAACAGGGATGTGCAATTTGATGGGCATAAAAGGGGTTGACAAGGGGCAATGGGTGGATTTGTGCAACCTGTTAAGCACACCCCCCACCCCACCCCAGCCAGAAGGAAGCAACACAATTCGCACAAGTAATTTAACCTGGGTTTCAAAACTATCCTATTCCCAGCACTGGATATTTCAGTTTGATTGAATGCAGGACGGATTGCAGGAAAGTTTGAACTGATTTATTGAATGCAGGAAAGTTTGCAGATAAATTCATTCAATTCCCCAGCGACAGACTAGCTGTTCCTGTAGGTGTGTGTGTGTGTGTGGGAAGCATAACCTGTTGGGTATCTGCCTGCCAAGTAACCCATATGAAAAGCAAAAAAGGGATTGATGGACAAATGAATTCAACCTTAAAGGAGAAATAACTGAAGTTTTATTAGCAGCACAATGCAGCGAGCGCCCTCTGCTGGCAGGCCTGCAAACGCCAGCTTTTGTTGAATAAACATTTATTTGTCTAGTATTTAAATGTCTATTTATATTGGCCAAAGGGGGGTGATTTAGCCTCTGCTGATCCTTGACCTCTCCCCCCCCTTAAACCCTCAAATGCGATGCATTTGGAATCTGGAACACTGTTTGCACTATAGAGGAGAAGAATTGCACTTTACATATGCTCAGGAGCCAGCCACTTAAACATGTCTTGCCTTACAAACTTGCAAAGTGGGAAACTGATTCAGCCAAATAGGGAAGAGGAAAAACCCAGTCGGTGATCGCTCTTGTACATGTTCAAGAGCACGGGATAATTGTAAAACGATGGAATAGATTCCTGGGTAAGAATATTTAACATTTACGTGAATAGACGTTTGTATCAGTGCATTTGAATTTAAAATTTTGAGTACAGTATTAAAAAAAACAACCCACTGATTTTACTCTGTTTTTCTTTCACAAGAACCACAAAAATCGTTCGGTTATTTATTTTTTTAAAAGCGATTTAATCTCAGAGAGAATGCCAAAAGGGAAAAATAACAGTCCCGTTCCTGTTTCCCCCCGCATCTTGATCACAATCCAAACTCTGAAAACTTCTCAAACCACAAAGCAACTTACACTATCTTCATCCACAACCTGAACATTATTATTATTATTATTATTTTTCTCCCAACCTTTTTGCAACCAATTTCCGGCCACTTTCCAATCTGTCTCACCTTTCCTAACGTCATTCATCTGCTTTTTCCCCCCACCCCCTTTCCACTTTCAACATTCAACTCCAGAAGGAAGAAGAAGAACGGGCTGACTCTAAAATTAAGCCGCTTGCTGGGACCGCGAAGCTCAGGAACGCCGGATGGTAGAGTAGGAGAAAACGGGACGGAAAGAAAGAAAGAAAAGAACGGATGGAAAAAACGGACGCTAAATGAGTCAAGAGAGTTTTCCCTTCCCTTCCTTCTATCTTTCTTTCCTTCGTCTATCTTCCTTTCCTTCTTTCCTTTTCCTTTCAGGGGTCTGCAACTTTGGCAACTTTAAGACTTGTGGACTTTAACTCCCAGAATTCCTCCTGGCTGAGGGATTCTGGGAGATGAAGTCCACAAATCTTAAAAGTTGCCAAGGTTGGAGACGCCTGCTCTGCTCCATCCTTGCGTTACAATTTGGCAGAGACTTCTTGCTCCCCCCCAAAATAAAAAAAAAAGTGGGGTCTCCTGCTTTGTAAGTGCATCTGTTTTGCCTGCTGGGGGCAAGCATTCCTCGACTTATGACTTGTTTCGTTTAGCGACCGTTCGAAAGTACAACAATGCTTTAAAAAAGGACTTAGGGTTCTTGCACTTACGACCATCCCAGCATCCCCCACCCCAGGGTCAAAATCGGCTTGTATTTACGACGGTCACAGAATAGCAGAGTCACGTGGTCGCCGCTTCCCAGCCAGGGGTGTGTGTGTGTGTGTTGCAGTGAACCACTGCAGCAAAAACAAAATTGGGCACGACTCCTTTAATAACCTGCCTTGCTTAGCAAGGGAAATTCTGGTCGTTAAGTTGAGGACTGCCTGTATTTAGGTGGCAAAAGCAATAGGTAAATTCAGAAAAAGGGGCGCGGGGAGCCCCTTGAAAGCTTTAAGGCTTCTCCAGCAAAAGAACAAGAAGCAACGGATGGAAACTCATCCAGGAGAGAAGCAACCTGGAATGAAGGAGAAACTTCCTAACAGGGAGGACAATTAACCAGTGGAACTGCTTGCCTCCTGAAGTTGTGGGTGCTCTGTCACTGGAAGTTTTTAAGAAAAAAAAAAGGAAGAACCATTTGTCTGCAATGGTATAGGGTTTCCTGCCTGACCAGGGGGCTGGACTAGAAGACCTCCAAGGTCCCTTCCAACTCTGTTATTCTATGATTTCTTTTAAGGGTGAGGGGTGATATTATAACAGGGTTCAAATATTTGAGGGGCTGCCCCAAGGAAGAGGGGGGGTCCACCTCTTCTCCAAAGCCCCTGAAGGCAGGACGAGAAGCAACGGATGGAAACTCATCCAGGAGAGAAGCAACCTGGAACTAAGGAGAAACTTCCTAACAGGGAGGACAATTAACCTGTGGAACGGCTTGCCACTAGAAGTTGTGGCTGCTCCACCCCTGGAGGTTTTTAAGAAGCGATTGGACAGCCATTGGTCTGGGATGGGATAGGGTCTCCTGCTTGAGCAGGGGGCTGGACTGGAAGACCTCCAAGGTCCCTTCCAGCTCTACTCTATTCCAAAATATGAATTTGGGCATGGTGCGTTCCCACAACTCCTGTTCTGTGTTTCTTTTTTCTCCCAGCTGCTTCAACTCGGGGCGTTCAGCAGCACTTCCAGCCAACACGGACAAGAGGTAATGAACCGGCGGGTGTAAGTGGGACCCCAACCCTTCGCAAAGCTAATCCGGACCGTGTGCTCGTCGTGGGGACCCTCGCCGGCGGCTGGGCGCCTGGCGGCCAGGTGCGCGGCCCGCTCGTAATCGAACACCTTGACGGAGTAACCGGGCAGGATTTTGTGCACCGGAGGGGCCGAGCCGCCCACGGGCCCCAGAGTGGGGGAAGAGACAAAGAGGGGGTGCTCGCTGCGGTTGTAAGCCCAGACCCCGCTGGCTTCCTGGCTGAGTAACAAACCACGGCCGATCTTAGCCTGGGTCCTGCGGACAGCCTGGCTGCGGCTTCGGGATGCCAACTGGCCCAGGCAGAGCCCGTTGCCCTGGAGCAGGCTGGAGAAAACGCAGACATGGTCTTCGTGGACGGGATAGAGCCTCCCCACCCGGAGGCGGTACTCCCAGTAGGCCAGTTTGCACCAGTAGCCGTCCTTCAGGGAGCAGCGGGAGAGGGTGGTGTCTGCGGGAGAGAAGGGGACAAGCGTGTTTAGAGCCGGTCCTGGACTTACCAGCGTTTGTTTCGTGACTGTTTGAAGTTACATTGAAAAAAGTGGCTTAGGACCATTTTTCACTCCATCCATCCATCCATCCATCCATCCATCCATCCATCCATCCATCCATCCATCTATCTATCTATCTACCTATTTATCTTTCTTATCTATCTATCTACCCACCCACCTATATCTTTCTTATCTATCCATCTCTATATCTATCTATCTTTCTTATCTATCTAATCCATCTGCTCTATCTATCTATCTATCTATCTTTCTCTTTATCTATCTAATCCATCTGCTCTATCTATCTATCTTTCTTTCTTTCTTTTTCTCTCTTCTCTACCTATCCATCCATCCATCCATCTTATCTATCCATCTATCTTATCTATATATCTTATCTACCTACCTACCTATTTATCTTTCTTATCTATCCATCTCTATATCTTTCTCTTTATCTATCTAATCCATCTGCTCTATCTATCTATCTATCTATCTATCTATCTATCTATCTATCTATCTATCTATCTATCTATCTATCTATCTATCTATCTATCATATATGGACAATACATGTGGTCCTCATTTTACAACAGTTCATTTAGTGACCGTTCAAAGTTGTGATGGAGCACCCACAACTTCTGCAGGCAACCCTTTCCACAGGTTAATTGTTGTAACTGTCAGGAAATTCCTCCTTCGTTCCAGGTTGCTTCTCTCTCCTTGATTAGTTTCCATCCGTCGCTTCTTGTCCTGCCTTCAGGTGCCTTGGAGAAGAGGTGGACCCCCTCTTCTTTGTGGCAGCCCCTCAAATATTGGAAGACTGCTATCATCGCCTCCCTCCCCCGCTCCTTCTCTTCATTAAACGAGACATCCCCAATTCCAGCAACCGTTCTTCATATGTTTTAGTCTCCAGTCCCCTGATCATCTCCGTTGCTCTTCTCTGCACCCTTTCCAGAGTCTCAACATCTTTTTTTAAATATCGTGGCCACCCAAACTGGATGCAATAGTGACCATCCCTGGGGAGAGGCGGCCTCAAGACCGGCGGCGGAGCTTCGGGGCGGCACGTAGGTGTGGGAGCTTTTGGGGGCACCCTGTCTTCGGCTGGAAGAGGGAAACAGACCGGGCGCCCAGGCTGCTTTGGAAGTGGCTGGGTGGCCGGATGCCAACGGTCAACCCTGCTTTGTACGTCAAAGAGATTGTGAGCGTCTCGCTCTCTCTGGCGGCCACTTCCTCTTGCTAGAAATAAACACGCCGTCTTTCTGTCTGTGAGAAGGAATGAGGACAGCCGCCCCTAACGTGGGCTTCCTGGTTCCTTTCCCTCTCCGGGACAATCCACAAAACGTGGCACGCCCAGACAAACAAACCTTTCCTCTATTTTTCCCCCCCTCTCTCTCTCTGTCCCCCCCCCCCGGTTTGCCTCTCTGAAGGATGCATTTTTCCCTGGGGGGGGCGGGGGAAAGAGGAAGGGGTGCCTTTGGAAATGACCAAAATAAAATTCGGCAAAAATTTTTTTGGGGGGGTGCCATCTAACGACGGCCTGTTGAAATAACGGAATGACAGAGTTGGAAGGGACCTTGGGGGTCTTCTAATCCACCCCCCCACCCCCCGCTCAAGAAGGACCTTGTAACATTTCTGACAAATGGTTGAAAACCTCCAGTGATGAGGGAGGAAGGAAGGAAGGAAGGAAGGACGAATAACAGAGTAAGAGAATAACAAAGTTGGAAGAGACCTTGGAGGTCATCTAGTCCAACCCCCTGCTCAGACAGGAAACCCTACACCATTTCAGACAAATGGCTGTCCAGTCTCTTCTTAAAAACCACCAGTGTTGGAGCATTCACCGCTTATGGAGGCAGGTTGTTCCATTGGTTAATTGTTCTCACTGTCAGGAAGTTTCTCCTTAGTTCCAGGTTGCTTCTCTCCTTGACGAGTTTCCATCCGTTACTTCTTGTCCTGCCTTCAGGGGCTTTGGAGGAGAGGTGCCACCACTTTTCTTTGGGGCAGCCCCTCAAATATATTGAACCACGGCTATCGTGTCCCCACTTGTCCTTCTTTTCATTAAACTAGACCAGACTAGACACCCCCAATTCCTTCAACCGTTCTTCTTCGTGTGTTTTAGCCTCCAGTCCCCTGATCCTCTTGGTTGCTCTTCTCTGCGCTCTTTCCAGAATCGGAACGTCTTTTTTGTAACCACAATGAGGGACCCCAGCAAGTGGGAAAAGTTTCAATTAATTGCATCTGTTGATCTGGGTAAATGCTGAGGCCAATCACCCCAGCACCCATTGCGTGTTAGCTGCAACTTAAACAACCCCACGGCACACACACACAAACACAGCACAAACATCTCCCCTTCCATCCTACCTACCTTGCCATCCTCTGCAGTTGTTTTCTAAAATGCTGGTGCCGTTCAGGGGTGCAGGAAAAGGCGAGATCTTGCAATAGGGTGGAGGGGGGCTGTCTGTGAAAGGGACAGATGGAGAAAGCCCATGAGAAGCTTTGAAGTGTAGGTGGTCCTCAGCTTGCGGCCACAACTGAGCCCCCAATTTCTGTTGCTAAGCGAGACGGTTATTGTCAGCTTTGGCCCCATGGATGGATGGACGGAGAGACAGATAGATATAGAGGAGATAGATAGATAGATAGATAGATAGATAGATAGATAGATAGATAGATAGATAGATAGATAGATAGATAGATACAGCAGATGGATGGATGGATGGATAGAGAGAGAGAGAGAGAGAGAGAGAGAGAGAGAGAGAGAGAGAGAGAGAGAGAGAGAGAGNCGGGCCCCAGAGTGGGGGAAGAGACAAAGAGGGGGTGCTCGCTGCGGTTGTAAGCCCAGACCCCGCTGGCTTCCTGGCTGAGTAACAAACCACGGCCGATCTTAGCCTGGGTCCTGCGGACAGCCTGGCTGCGGCTTCGGGATGCCAACTGGCCCAGGCAGAGCCCGTTGCCCTGGAGCAGGCTGGAGAAAACGCAGACGTGGTCTTCGTGGACGGGATAGAGCCTCCCCACCCGGAGGCGGTACTCCCAGTAGGCCAGTTTGCACCAGTAGCCGTCTTTCAGGGAGCAGCGGGAGAGGGTGGTGTCTGCGGGAGAGAAGGGGACAAGCGTGTTTAGAGCCGGTCCTGGAATTACCAGCGTTTGTTTCGTGACTGTTTGAAGTTACATTGAAAAAAGTGGCTTAGGACCATTTTTCACTCTATCTATCTATCTATCTATCTATCTATCTATCTATCTATCTATCTATCTATCTATCTATCTATCTATCTATCTATCCATCCATCCATCCATCCATCCATCCATCCATCCATCTTATCTATCTTATCTTATCTATCTACCTATTTATCTTTCTTATCTATCTATCATCTATCTATCATCTATCTATCATCTATCTATCTATCTATCTATCTATCTATCTATCTATCTATCTATCTATCTATCTATCTATCTATCTATCTATCTATCTATCTTATCTATCTTATCTTATATTATCTATCTATCTACCTACCTATTTATCTTTCTTATCTACCCACCCACCTATATCTTTCTTATCTATCCATCTCTATCCATCTCTATATCTATCTATCTATCTATCTCTCTTATCTATCTAATCCATCTGCTCTATCAATCTATCTTTCTTTCTCTTTATCTATCTAAT